TAAGTTAATAATAAGGATTGTATAAATATAGGTAGGATGTTAAATAAAACAAAAGGCATTTGTAATTAAATTCGTGGTTTTATTTTCCCATTCAGCACACAGAGGGCGTCGCACACGACAATATAATTTGTACACAAATAGATTAAATGTATCTTTGTTTAAGCTACAAACGTGATTGGATAAATACTCTTTCTTCACGTATCTTAATATCATAAAATTATGCTATGACTCTCTCTGAGAACACAGTGCCTCACAATGTTACCACAACAATAAATTAAACCAAACGAATCTGACCACAGTACATACTTACAAGTAAAATGTTCAACTTTAAAGAAAAATTACAGCTTTGCGAGTTCTATAACAAAAATAGCACTAGCACTAAAACTTGTTCATATTGAAATTACAATAAAATAAATTGTGGCAAACCTTTATCAAGCACTCACAAGAACACCACCATGGTGTTGAAAAAACGTAAAAAAACGTACATAATATCAATAATAAAGTTAGAGAAACATACTGGCTTTTAATGAATTTCAATACATTTATAGTCCAAAAAGTTATAACAAGAGCTATAAAATTACGGCATTTCAAACTTAAAACTGTAATGGAAATTCGTTAATGGAATTGAAATAGGAATATGAAAATATGACGTCAACAAAATGGAAGATATATTACTAAAATGTTTTGTAACAAATTACCTCAAGTTCCACTTAAAAATAACCAAGTTACATTCTTACTTATTGATTTTGGCCTCATTCCGCAAAACAACGAGAACAAAATCACATTTTGCTCATCACATAAAATAGAAAATTCTTGACACATCAAATATTTTATACAACAACAAAAGCGAAGCCAAAATGCAAGAAATCTGCATATGACTTTAGTTCTAGCTTCCCTTACTTACATTTATTAAAACAAAACTTATCTAATTTATAAATCAAAACAAAAACTTTGTAAACAAACGTAACATTTACATACTATGGCAAAGGAAATAATCTATAAATAAAAATATTGTGGAATTATGCCAATCTGCCAATTGGTACAGTTGGGAAAATACGCGGTGTTCCATTTACAGAAAAATTGCCTTGTTTTTTGCAACAAGACAATCTCCGCCTTAGAAGAAATCAATCTAAAAAAAACAATTAATCGTGTGCCATTAACCTTTTTAGTAGACACATTAAATACGTCCTAATGGTTGTTGCCGCGACGCTACAATGAGTACAAATCTTTTAAACTATCGCTTATAAGGAACACCGACATATTCCCTGATTGTACATCTTGTGATTATGTACATTCTATGACGTCCATATTAATTCCGTACTGACAAACACTAGCTGTCTCCCTCTTTCGTTTAAGTTTAAATTTGCTATCTCTTTCGTACCGTTTGACGATGTTTTAAATATAAATAAAATTCATGTATTATTTTTGATCCTACAATCGTTCTTAACATAATTGAATTTTACCTTTAGAGTAAAAAATAAAATTACGTTCGTTTACAAAGTTCTTGTCATATAACAAGATTTCCAGTAAATGTTCGCCGCCATCTTGTTTCGGCGCCAAACAGTATAGTATAAAAAGGTAACAAAACTACAAGATTCAGAAAATAGTATTAATGGAATATTAGTATAGTGTTTATACATAAAAATAATTTATTATAGGCATATAAAATGCATCTGCGTTAAGGGCTGGAAGCAAAAGGCCCAAAATAGACAGAATTGGAGAAGTTTACTGGACCAGGCCCTCCCGCGGCCGTAGTGCCTCAGATGATATAAAATGCATCGAAATCTAGCTAACGTCTGAAATTATCCATCACTTTATAAAGTATGTTAAAAATAGTATTTAAGTCTAAGATATATACAAATATGCTTAATATTTCATACAAATTTTAAAGACATCAACAATCTTATCAAAGGGACACCCTATATACCATAAAGTCATCTCAGAAACCGCTCTTAGTAACGTTAAAGCATTTATAAGACAAACTGCGGAATTATGAAAATATTTTTAAAAAGTACACAGGTGTTACAATTTCACTACATACATTTTTTTAATAAATATACAGGATGTTCTCAACAACGTAAATCAATAAAAAAATGTTTTAGGTCAGTTTAAAAATTCTTATTCCAAGAGCTAATATTTTTTTAAATGATAACGTTTTGTAGTCAATAAGTTAATACATAAATATATAAAAAACCATTCATAAATGCATAAATTGTTAATGGATATGATCGTGTCGAGTTTTTTTTATATAAAAAAAGACAATTATATTTTCAGTTTCCAAACATCCTGTATACAAATAATTTACGAGAACAAGTACACATTTACAGTAGAAACCTCACAAATGTACATGAGAATAGGTAACAAATGCAACTACACGTGGTCCCAGCGTTATATACTCAGAGTAAATTGTAGAAAATGTTACTTATTGTTGATAGACAGATGTTTATTTAAAATCTAGAAAAAGATAGTAATTTACAGCAAGACATACACAGATTCAAGTCTATTTCGCAGATAAAGCTCCCCATACACGAACCGAACAAACGAACCTTTCAATAAAATTCTATTTAATTGCAATACTCTTTATAAGCATAGATATATATTCTATAGACACGTAATCCACAAAACTGAGGTGAAAATACCTTTGGGGCAATTTTTGGGGTAAATTTCCCTCAGTGATATCAATTTAAAATTAGACGTTAAACTTGTATGTCCATCTATAGATAATAGATCTATAATTATCTATAGGTTATAAATCTATGACTCCATCTATAAACATGGCTTTATCAACGTTTTTTTAAACGTCATTTTAAAAACACGTTATAGATGTGGATGGAGTCATTTCTATCTATAGGTTTAAGGTCTACGACTTCATCTATAGATTATGTATCTACAGTTAATTTTTAGCTATTTTTCATATAAAATTTGCGTTGCAATCTATTAAATTCAGTACGAAAACATTCTGTCAATCATGAAATAGGTGAAATATAAAATTTATTTCCTTACCCGTATGTTTTTTTTTAAAAAAAAGGTTATAAAATACGAAAAATCCGCAAATTTCACTTTTAAATATAACAAAGATGTAAACGGATTTTATTACAGGTAACAAGTTATAAAAATTATTACATTTTATTATTATGGAAAAATCTTAAATACAGTAGGAAATAGGAATATCGTTGCGAAATAACGGCTCCTACGTAAACTGTCATAAGCTACAATATTGCACCTTGTTTTATTTTATTTAATTTCAATATAAATTTAAAAGTAACATTAGTATAAGAAATGTAGATTTTGTTTGTCTATCGTATCTTAATGAATGTTGCATAAAATTATTTTTATTAATAAAGTCTTGTCTTGCAAAATTATCGTTTCAAACATACGATAGTTTACTTAGGAGCCATCGAAATATTTCAATATTAAAATAAATCGTTCTCAAACGTCAAAAGATTTAATGCAAAAAATTACTATAAAAATTTATGTAAGTTATTTTGCGTATTTTTTATAAATACTGAGAAATTTAGGATTTCTTCTGACAAAACTGTACTGTAACTTTCTGACAGTAGTTAAAAAAATAAGCATATATCTGCAAGCGAATTTTCAACAATGTTCTTCACTATTGCTATCTTTGGCTAATTTATTCGAAGCCTTATGTATTTGTAGTAAAGCCGAATTTTCATTAACAAACCAGTTACATTCGAGACAACACAAACTATACATAAATAACTAAATGAAAATAACGATTTGTATAATTCGAGACAAGAAAATATAAACTTAAAAAAACAACTTCAAAATTTCCCGGATATTAGTGTAAACTCTATATAACGTCGCTCGGGACTTTAAATTGTGACGTTATAAAGAAGTCTTTAAATATATATTTTGTATTCTATAACTTGATTCTGTTCCTAAAAATAAAGGCAACTTGAATTTTAAAAAATACTGCCTAACTGCTGTATTTTCGACGTTAAATAGAGTATGCGGCGTTATATGGAGGTTCAAGCATTTTTTATTACATAAAGTGGCAAATAAACAATCGTCCACCTGAATTCGCTAAAGAAGCGATGTGAATGCCTAGACATCTGAAATTTCGACGTTATAAGAAGATCGACGTTACATCGAGTGACGTTATACAGAGTTTTCACTATTCAATATACACAAATCACACGAACTAAGACATTTAACAAAAATGTGATGTAAAATACTAACACTAAAATCTTCTTGAAATCAAGAAGTAATCTCTTGACACGCAGAAGATAACGCAAGTTGACGCCTTCGACATTCTTCTAGAACGACCAATTATTCTCGAACATTCTATGTGTCCCTGGAATAGATAAAACAATATTTTAAACACAAATAGTTATGTAAAATATATTTTGAACAATAACCGGTTTTATTATATTTTACACACGCTTTCGCCCGCGACTCTATCTGCGTGGTATTAAGACAAAAGTGAGTAACTGTATATTCTTCTGGACTATCCTCTACATCTATGACAAATTTCATTTTTAGAATCAATTTTAGAGTTACCAATATATCAATGTACAGTTGGGGAAATTGGCGGTGTTCCTGCAAGCTACAATCGTTTGAACAGTTTGAAACGAGACGCGGAACAAAAACCAATACAGCACAACTTACATGTGTCAGTATGAAAAAATGTCGGTTAGTGATACACGGCGTTTTTTTATCCCTTTGTTTGCACTCACTGATACCTAATTAGTTAGGCAGAGGCGGTGTTGTCTCGTAATAAAAATGGTAATTTTTCCTGAAGTGGAACACTGCGTAATTCCGCGACTGTACAAATATATGATTTTCATTGTATTATGCTTTTTGTTATTTCGCTACATTATGTGGGTGGGAGTGGTACTGACTTCTTGTTGTTGGCGATGTTGTTGTCGTGGTGGTTGTTGGCTGCGGGGCTGTCGCTCACGTCGCTGGAGCTGCGGATGTCGCCCTCCATCTGGAAACACGTAATTATATTGTGAGACAATGTAATTCAGTTGTAATCTAGCGAAAACATTAGCAATCCAATGTTTTGTGGTGTGAATGCCATAATGTCATGGTGGTGTGAAGTGTTGTCTAAAGTGTTATCGAAAGCTATGTCTAAAGTGTTTATAAAACTCTTTGTAAAATGTTATCCGAAGTTATGTCTAAAGTGTTCACTGAAGCTGTGTGTGTCAAGTGTCAAGTGCTGTCTAAAGTTAAGTAGTACGTGGCGACTGAAGTATTATGTGTGATTTTGTGTTGTCTGGAGTGTGAATTATTTAATAAAATAAAATAATATAATAAAATAATATAAATAAATATCATAAAAACCATCTGTTGTTTGAAGTTATACCTGAAGTGTTGTCTGTAATGTTGATTGAAGTGTTGTCTTAAGCTACGTCCGAAGTAACACCTTTTGCTTGAAGTTATGTCTGAAGCGTCGTCTGTAGTGTTGTCTGAAGGTAAATATGTTGTTTGAGAGTGTTGTGTGCAGTTATGTGTGGGATACCTTGCCGGCTTGCAGGGTGCGGTATGCCATCTGCAGGATGAGGTATGTCCAGACGATGTGGAGCAGCAGAAGCAACAGCAGCAGAGAGTTGAAGATGTAGTAAGCAGGGAACATTGGTAACAGCATCGGTGCTCGGATCCACGTGCTGTAATGTTTAATAGGATGAGTTTTCGTAAAATACTAGTAGATTTTTGTGAATTTACTAATATTCCCTTTAACCATCCCAAATAAGCTCTAGACTTGTGCTAGGATATATTCACAATAATCGAATGTCGGGATTAGAACCCTCGACCGCAAGATCGGTAGTACGAACCGCACACCATTAGGCTATTGGCGCTTTCAATTGCAATAAAACAATGTGATATATTAGCTTTTGCCCGAGTAATTGAAAAAGGACTTAGAAGTTAGAACTTAAAACCCATCACCAATTACTTACGCTCTGAAAAGACAAAACAAAATATCTTGTTTACTAAATTGAATCATATAGTGATTGTCAACTGTCAAGGTGTGATTGTTTTTTAATCTGTTTTTATTGATCAACAAATAAATACATTATTAAAAATGCAATAAAATTAAAAAAAAACGCATTTATCAGCTCTATTATTAAGGTTGCCTAATATTACGCTATAACAAAGGGGTGAACAGAAAGGAAACAGCCTCTACAAGAGACTGGAGTGCATGATGACTAACCTCCATAGAAGGTGATAGGGGAAGATGATGATCCTGGTGCCAATCCAGACGATGATGAGGCCCAGGAACAGAGTATCACACGTCTTCTGGTAATTAGCATATTTCGATGCTTTCACAGCCTGCAATACAAATATAGTTAAAAGATTTTGACCCGATGATGCGTGCTGAAATCGGACAACTATGGTTTTACCAATCTGTCCTGCAAACCTTTTAAAACTGTTATTTTTTTCATGATTGTTACTGAAAAGCATAAAAACTACTTAACCGAATTTAAATATTCTTTTACTATTAAAAAGCTAATTTATCTGAGAGTAACATAGGTATCTTAAATTAGCTAATTCTTAAAGCGTAAAGTTGTTATTTCATTTTTATTTCATACCTCAACGAATATATCCCCTGCGTCATGCAGAAGTAAAACAAGAGTGCCGATCCTGTGCAGGTTGCAGACCCAACTGAAGCTGATGAGAGCCACAGTGGCAAAGTGGTGTAGGAACATCTGCCAAAAGTCTTTACGCCTGACATCCCAGAACTGGCTGATGGTTAGGGAGAGGTAGAACGCCGCGGAGATCATGTAGTACCACCACACGTCATCTGTCACACCCTGAGGGTAGAAATAGGGTAGAATACCATTATAAATGTGCACACGAGCAATATCTTTATCGATTCTTCTATGCTAATACAATAAAACGTAAACACACGTTACTTCGTGGCGTATGATGTCAGCAATCACAGAATATTTCTTTCTTTAATAAAAAGCCCTACACTTACGACACGCTTTAGGCTATATATTTTCATGCTATTAAACTATGGAGTAAATAAACAGATAAGACCTTCATGTGAGAAAGGGCCATAACCTACAAGCTAACATCAAAGAAGCAAGGTTGCCATGGTAACGGTAATTTTCAAAGGCGTTCGTTGTCATTTTGATATTTACAATTAAGTATTTGACAAATATAAACAATAAAATAAAGATTTTATAACTTCATGCGGATGTAGCCGCACGGAACAACTCGTCTCTGTAACTTAGCGAACCATTACCTGATGTGGGTATCCGAGGTATGCGTGGTCGATGTCCCAGAGCCACACCTTGTCCCAAAGTATGCACAGCCCGAAGACAAAGTTGCTGGAATGGAAGGTGAACTTCCATAGGTTCTCGCAGAACTTGACTAGTGTTGAGGGTTTGTCCTGCGACCGCCGCAGCCGCCACCAACGCTCCACTTGACGCTCCGTCATATCCAACTGCTTCGCGAGACCACATGGCTGCAAGATATAGTTTTTAAATCTCTAAATTCTTGCAGAAGGCTTTATTACCTTTATGACAGTTGAAAATTATCAATATACAAGTTTTAGCCTATGGTCCTTCGAGTCGGATTTATTCCATTCATTAATGTTTTATGTATTGATTGATTGAGGTGAATTTACTTTCTCATGGAAAAATAAAAGTAAAGCATGTGAATGGTAGAGGAAATAGTCAAAGTTGATTTCTTTGTTCATCTTTGATATAAACTCGGTTAAGATAAGATGGGTTCGACTTTAACGGGAAGGTAAACATTTTTATGACGCATTTTATCGAAGGCCATAAACTGACGAAGGCATGAGGGGCCAGAATTCATGACATTTACAGTCTTATGTGTTACATAAAGTAATTTTATTTTATAGTCTAATCATATAATAAACACATACTGTTTGATAAACACTTAAAGAATCATACAATACTTCCTACTTACTAATATTATAAATGCGAAAGTTTAGATAGATGGATGGATGTTTGTTAGAGTTTGTAGCCTAAACGGCTCAACCGATTTCGATGAAATTTGGTATGGATGTAGAGGATAGTCTGAAAGAACACATAGGCTACTCAGTTTTGTTTTTTTAATTTCACGCGGACGGAGTCGCGGGCGAAAGCTAGTACTTTATAAGATCAAAGACTCCTTTGGTGTCATTCCGATTCCCGTGACAAATGTCACACTTCATTAGAGCCTTTAAACAGTCTTTGTTTGCTTTTTCCTTTGAATTTAAAAAAACAAATAGAGGTGAACAGAAGTCGTTTACGTTTGTCAGTTTATTTAGGCGTACTCTGCCGGGAGTTATCTCTTATCATTAACACCAGAGACATGATAACACACTTTGTGTGAAAATCTCGAATACACACTCCTTATCAAGGTGCTGAGAAAGATTTATTATTGTTTTGTTTGAATAAAAATTACCTTTATGCATTACGTTACTTTGAATAAGGGGTTTCAAAACCATGAGATCTTTGTGCCAACTCGATAAAGCGAAGACCAGTTAAGTCGGTATCCAAAATTTAGCAATTCGTAATCAGGAAAGTATATATTTTCCTGATTATTTAGTAAATGGGTATTTCTTGAATATAGCTATCATTTCCTGATAATTATAAATGATTCATATCGATAAGGAAACAGCTTAAAAGCATACTATACGTTAAGATAAAATCATGGGAACTAATAGGTGTTTAACGACTCACTAAAATATCTAACTGTCCCTTTCAGATAAGAGACTTGAGTCATGTCAAGTATACATAATTGGTAGAGGAATCACAACAAGAGATATTAAAAGCTAGTGTTACTGTCGCGTTAAGAAGCCATACTAGACAAAGTCTGACGGCTATGTCTTGTATTTAGTTTTCATATCTAGGCGTCTCTGAAGTACACGCGAGCACACTCACAACAATTTTAGCTGTAACAGAGCATAGTTTACTTAACGAAGGTAATACTCAGCAAGCAATGACCTTGGACAGTCAAGATATTTGATAAGGACTATACAATAAATAAATTTGAGAGTGCTTACTATAAACCGTTAAGACGTCCTTAAGCAATCACAACACGTGATTTCTTATCTATAGGTATTTCATGAATAATCAATGATAAAGTTAGGCATATCTACGAGAAAGGAATAGATTAAAACTTTTCAGTCATCTTTTGTACTATTTCCGTGTTGAAATGGGGTCAACACATTTACTTATTCCCACTCAATTGTAACAAGCAAGGAGTGAAGATTGCCTGAATAAATCGTTCTAGAAGACGAAAACCTGATTCTCCTACAAAGAGTAGGACAAGGACAGAGCGATAATAATCTATTAAATGGAGTTTGCTGTCCTTTTTTAATCTGACAGTCTTTCACGTTCAGCATTAATGTAAATTCTTGTCTGTCTGTATGCTTTACTGCGTTTGTTTCGAGCAATCCGGTGAGATAGCTGATTCACGCGGAAATATAGGCTACTTTAATTCCGTCCTGACCAGTCTATACTAATATTACAAAGAGGAAAGATTTGTATTTTTGGATTTCTATATGTATTTAAATAATTCAAAAACTACTGCGTCGATTTCAAAGAATCTTCGACCATTATAAAGCTACGTAAACACTGAGTAACATAGGCTACGTTTGCTATTGTTTATAGCCCAAACGGTTGAACGGATCTCGATGAAATTTGGCATAGATAAAGGGGACAGTCAGGTAGAACACATTTGTACTTATTTTGACCGACTTCCTTTGTTATTATTTAATTCCACGCGGACGAAGTCGCGAGCATCAGCTATTAAAATTTGAACGGACATACTAGTTACATCCTTTGCGGTTATTTAACAGTACTTTACTGTAACGGTACTTACGACAGTCACGTAAATGTACGTCACGATATTTCGCGCATGCTCTGATAAGCGTTATCAATTTACGATGATTGTATGCAAATACTTTTGATAAGCATTTTACTATTACTAACGGTAATAAATATACATTACATTACAAAAGAGGCAGGCAGACATAGATTTCTTTTTCACACTATTCTAATTTCTGGTACATAAAACTATATTAATACTAGCTTTCGCCCGCTACTCCGTCCGCGTGCAATTGAAAAAAAAAAACAGAAGTGAATAGCCTATGTGTTCTTTCAGACTATCCTCTACATCTATGCCAAATTTTATCGAAATCGGTTGAGTTTATGCTACAAAGTCTAACAAACATCCATCTATCCATCCATCCATCCATCTTAACATTCACATTTATAATATTAGTAAGATTATAAAGAGGAAAACTGTGTATTTTTGTATGTATTGAAATAACTCAAAAACTACTGGGCCGATTACAAAAAATCTTTCACCATATAAGCTACGTTATGAGTAAGTAACATAGGCTATTATTTTTTTAAGTTCACGGAGGCGAAGTCGCGATCAACAGCTCGCCGAACATGACTACTTCGTTTAGATATACTTTATTCTTACAATGATTTATTGTTCATCTGAAATAGCTTTTAAATTACAAACAATGTTTATAAAACCTCTAGTATCAATGCACGATAAAATAGAATGTTACGCGTGTTTGTAAATACATATTATAAACACGTAAGGTAAATGAAACAATCTACAGACGTGTCGAAGTTCAAGGCGCGATAAAATAATTAATTGGGATATGTACATATTTATATATTATAGTATGTATATAATACAATTATTATGATACTAGCTGTTGCTCTCGACTTCGTCCACGCAATATTAAGTTAAAGTAGATAATATGCCCGAGTATTGCAGCTACCCAGTGAAAATCCGGTCGATATCGGTCCACCCGTTTCAGAAATTACCCGGAACTAACGCGGCTTGCGGACAGACATACAGACAGGCAGACACAAAAAATTATTTAAATGCGGTTATCAGCGACGCAAATACATATCTTCCCGAAATCTGGAATTTATCTTTTGATATTACAAACAAACACTCCAATTTAATTATATGTATTGAATCGTTCAAGTTTAGACTACAAACTCTAACATCCATCCATCTAAACTTTCGGATTTATAACATTTGTAAGATATACGTGAATTGGAAAATTTATGAATTACTCTAGCGTATTGTACTGACTTTACTCGAACAGTTAGTTAATTTTTATTGTCGAAATATTATATTCATAAATTTCGTAGTTATATGATCTACATTAGTTAGTTATCCGCCTACCTAGATTAAGGGCATGTACTGTATTCTGTCGACTAGGTAATAATTGCGACATCTTTATGTAAATTAGCAATAAAACGAGCTATATTCTTGAAATATATGTTAATGTGCTATTTGTCTTCTGGGAAACGGCAACATATATTTTAATGTACTCTTGACTATTTTTATATAAACCGGTCAAGGTTACGTTGGAGAATTAATGCTGTTATTTCACTATATCGTATGATTTTTAAATCTATACATATAATAAAACTAGCTGTTCCCATGCGACTTCATCCGCATAAGATTATAAAAATTTCATTTTATTATTCACATTGTCCAAATTATCAGTTACAAATGTCAAAATGACATGACATGATGAATACATTGTTTCCTTGATCTTGGCAATAACTTATGGACTCTTTCCCACGTTAGGGTTTTTATCCAAAATATTTACCCCTAAGTTTAACGGCGTGAAAATATATAGTCTAAAGCGTGACGTAAGTGTAGGGCTTTTTATTAAAAAAAAGAGTTATTCGAAAATATGCTGTGATTGCTGACATCTTAGACAACAAAGAAGTGTGCATTTACGCTTTATTATAATAATATAGACTAAGTATAGTATGGATTGGAGTGTCTGAAAATATCAAAAGAAAAATTCCAGATTTAGGGAAGATGATGCATTTGCGTTGCAGTTAACGAACACGTTTTTTTGTCTGTCCGCAAGCCGCGTTTGTTCCGGGTACATACAAAGACGGACATATTATAGGCCACTCTTTTATCTTAATATTGCGTAGACAAAGTCGCGGGCAAGGGTTAGTCTTAAATACGTTTTTAAAGTATAAAATAACGTTTGAAATACGATCGAAAGTATAATTAAACTTGTATCGCACACACGGAACTTTCGTAATAGAATTTCCTCGTTGAAACTATTGAAGCGATAGCTCTGTACGTAAAGATGGGTGGGTACACGCTGATTACGAAAGAAAACTGTAACGGCTGTTAAACAATGGTGTAGACCAGAGACAAAATGGTTCATTTGATCCTTGATAGGTTCTTTGAAGACATATAGCTGTACGATGACATTAAAATTTAAAAGGTTAAATTACAAAGCTTCGAGAAAATAGTTTTGGAATCTACAGACATAAATGATTACACTTTAGTCTTTAGGCCAGGGGTAGCGAACCTTTTCATACCAATCCTATCAGTTGACTACCCCTGTTTTAAAATCTAGAAACGGATGAAAGTATTTGTGACCAGTAACTAAGGGCTGCCATACACGAAAAGTCAGCATTTTTATTTAAAGTTTCCAGAAATGTTATGTATAAATTAATTCACGTAAAAACTATTAAAACATATGTAAGCAATTAAGTAAATATTAACTAGTGTTATCTGTAGACATCGTGATCACGATTCTCAATATAAAGTGCAAAGAACATACTGAATATTTAAAAACTTAAAAAATCTGTTTATGGACAAAATTGTCTGGTAGATTAACATTCACTGCGTAACAGGCCGATATCGACCTGACGCGGTACTTTAGCTGATGCGGATGAAGAAAACTATGACCCGCTCGATAGTGCGAAACGATTATCTCAGGTGTCTACATTACATTATACAAAATGCACCTATGTATTGTTAGGAATAAAATTAGTACCGTGCTATAGAATTGGCGCAACTCTAGATTATCGGCATAAACGGCACGTCCCTAGCTGACAGCTGTCAATGTCACTAGAAGCATGGATAGATTGGCGCGTAACTTGAGTCTTGACGAGAAGCATTGCTCTGAGTTAAAAGCGACAGTATCAATTAAATAAGTTTTCTAATAGTATGTTTCCACAAAGTCATAGCAATTTAATCTATAATAATGCTGGTGAGTCTAAAAAGAAGTGCTACACTGGCGGAGTTATCTTTGGGGGCGCATTTCGCCCTCCGCCGCACAAAATGAAGAATTTTAATTTTACTTGTCGCAGTACGCATGTTAAATAGGCGTGGTGGTCCACTGCTTATATTGTCTTAAAAAACAGAGACGTGTTTGTACAGCACGCAACAGCAAAGGCCCATCTTTAAATGCTTAGTCAATATTGAATTACTATTCAATATATACTAATATAATAAAACGTAAACTCGCACTTTGTTATGTGGGATCAACAATCACAGCCTATTTAGTTATTAAAAAAACTTACGACACGCCTTAGACTATACATATTCACGCTATTTACTTTAATGGGTGAATAAATTAGTAGAAATTGTCATGCGAAAAAGGGACAAAAACTACAAACCAATAACAGGAAAGAAGCAAGATTGCGATGGTTACGGTAATTGTTAGCCAATTGCAAAGTCTTGATAGCTTTACTAATAATAAACAAAAAAATAGGGTTTTCAAAATGTGCTAATCCGCACGGGAAGAGCTACACTAATATTATAAAGAGGAAAGATTTGTATGCAATCGATACACGTAGAAACTACTGGGACGATTTCAAAAATTCTTTCACCATTAGAAAGGTAACTTATCTGTCAGTAACATAGGCTACATTTTTTTAATTTTACACAGACGAAGTCGCGAGCAACAGCTAGTTATAAATGACTGAAATCCTTTGCTTATAATTTTTACCAACCTGTTTTAATTTGGGTGAGGCTCTGTATGCCGCTTCTAGTTTAGGGTTATTCGGTGCTTTCCTATTCCTCGTGTCCTTTATACCTAAGTGCCTGCCGAACGGAGCGTACACTGTCCTGTAAAAAAAAATATAGTAAACATATAAAGGTCAGCAAGAGAGCATGTTATAAGGAGGGATGAATCGCATGTTACAAGGAGAACATTAGTTATGAGTGTGGAGATACATCGGTAGAGGTAGACATAAAAAGAGATGGATGGATTGTGTGAAAGGGGACATTATCAAGAAGGGAATGATGACTGAGATGACGTATGATAGAGTTATGTGGAGGACAAAAACCTGTCGCGCTGGTCCTACGGGAGTAGGATAAGGTGGTATGATGATGATGAGTAAACGTATAAAAAGGGTTTTTAAAAAAACTAATTAGTAGTACACTTTACTTAGCAAGAGTAACACAGTATTCTTGTTCTTATCGTGCTAAATATAAGCCTTAGATACGCTCCCTAAGGGTCCGTTTAGTAAAATTCTATTACAAAGAAAATCGAGCATTGCAATTGGAAATAAGGTTTAATTCTATCTGACCCGATGGCGTTTGAGTTTTTAATGAGTAGACACCCCTGATAACTATCTTTCCCCCAAAAGGCAGTGTAGTGTTTCGAAGATTTGCCCGCAATAAAAATGGTGATCCCGAGAAATTTGATTTTTTCATTTATTTTAAATATAAAAGAGTATATTTTAACACATTCGCGATATTTCTTCACGCTCCAGTTTCACGACAAAGGCGTTACACTTGTCAATGTGACTCTTCACAAGAGATAAAACCTTTTACAGCCATGACCTACTCGTTGTACAATTTTGCGCGGTTCACTTCAAGCGTAGATTTGGTTTGACAAAATTGTCCTGCTTCTTTAAGAAAATGAGAGACGGAAAACATGTATGCACAAGTTTCAGTATGGTTCATTGACAGTTAACGTGTGTGAATAATCTCTAAAAGGCTAGCACGAAAATTCGCAAGAAATTATCGTAATGGACACTTTCTCGAAAATTTTCGTGCTATCTCATAATTCAACTTGTGTAGTACAGTTAATTCATCCGTTACAATTAATCGTTTAGTTATATGAACGGTACGAGTTAATCCGCTGGTTAAATAACGATTAACAAATTTACTTTTTACTTTGCCGAATGTTATGCCAGTAATACAGTAGGCAGGGAATTAAAAAACCTCATTATTATATACAGCCTTACAAATAAACGCGGTATAAAATTAAATTTAGAAATAACCTGAGTATAAGCAAAATTTGTACTAACATTTGTTTATTCCTAAGTTTACCTCTATATTTATTGAGAACTAACTTTAGCCCGTGACTTCGTCCCAAAAATGAGTAGTTTATGTGTTTTTCTAGACTATCCTCTACATTTATACCCAATTTTATTAAAATCCGTTCAGCCGTTTAGGCTACACGCACTAACAGACATCCATCCAGACATCTAAACTTTCGCATTTATAACATTAGTATGAAGTATGATAAGCCAAACTTAATTATTATAGCTCACTAGCGCCCTCCTGTTAAAGCAATACTTTACAAACTGTATCTGTCATGTTATTTCTTTCTTTTACCCTTTGTTGTACATTACTTTCTGACAAAATAGCGTTAAAAACACCTCGTAACGGGCCAGTTATTCTAGTTCGACTATATTTATCTAGCAAAAATAACTGCAATAACAAAAGGTCTATTATTTAAAGTAATAAAGACGTGTTTGTATGGGTCTTGTTTGTAATACTTTGTTGATATATTGATTACTATGGACAGACAGTTTTACATACATATGTAATATGGATATTTGTTACAAGGTAAAGGTAGGGTTGTTCTAGGGCTTCGATTATTCACAAGTTTAGGTTCCTTTAGGTCTTCTTTTAACACCTACAGCGCCTATAATCTTAACGCTTAGGGAATTAGAAATTAAGGCGAATCAGTTAAGTAGAGATCAACTTTTATGTACACAAAAAGTATCGAAAAAAACTTAACGAATGTCATAGTATCGCCAAGGTTATTATCAAATATGTAAGCGATAAAGCCTCGGTACACAAGAACAATCAGCTGTGTGCTAGTTAGCCACCGCGGTGTGCCAGGTCAGGGGTACACTAAACACTTCGAAAATATAATAATGGACTAAGCATACTAAAAAAATTCTATCACTTTTAGCCGGTGATAAGGTAAAAATAACTACCCAAATATAAAAACAAAATTACACTAAACGAGCACACAAGTTACAAGCAAGACAGATATATTTAACACTAGCTTTCGCCTGTGACTCCGTCCGCGTGGAATAAAAAAACACAAAAGCAAGTAGCTTATATGTTCTTCCAGACTATCCTCTATATCTATGCAAAATTTCATCGATATCTGTTTACTTTATGCTACAAACTCTAATAAACATCCATCCATCTAAACTTCTCCATTTATAAGATTAGTATGAAGTATGATTGGGGTATAAGCGTGTTTGACAGATCCAGTCATTAAATAGTCAAAAGATAACCACGACACCTGGCGTCGTTTACTTTTTACATTGTCTTGGGAATTAACTTTTATGGGCTATTGACTCGTGGATTATGACTTTGGTTTAGGGTAAACCGTTTAGATAAGATTTGTTCAGTATTAGTGTTACGGTTTTATTTACACGTTACTGTTCCCACTGTCTAGCTGGGTAACTCAATTAAAATTGATGATCTGCAGATCAGTGCAGCCGCTTGCAGCTTAGGTAATTTCGTCCCTGTATTGACCCCTGCCTTAGACCATCAAGTGGCGATACCTACTGCACCTCCAATGGATTACAGGTGTCTTACTATGAGAACAGTTATGCTATGCGATGGGAAAAGGACAAGATAATGATGGGAATGTATACGATACATCGATATCTCACAGCTATATTTTACAAGATCGCCTCACTATCAATATTGCCAATAATTCGTATCGATATAAACGGATAACATTACGATAAATTGTATCAACATATTTAATAACTTTATCGCGAATATTCGGCGCATATCTAATACGAAAAAATATCGCGACTGTATTGACCTATGGGGTAAACAGGGCTACTATTCAGATAGTTAAATTACAATTAGAATTCATATCAAAATTTTTTATGAAAAATAGACATAAAAACAACTTCAAAATAGCCTAATTTCAGTCCCTTTCCTTTCCCATCAGGTAAGGATGGGAAAGGAAGGTGGATTTGACTGTAGAGACACATAGAAAAGGAAAATATGCTTTTTATATGCCTCTCCTCCTATTGTGGATGTCTGTGTGCACTGGTCACTTTGCTTCTTTGGCAAATTCAGACAGACACTAAAAAAACATATTATTCTTCTATTTCAACATAGTTTTTTAGTAGCTGTTGCCCGTAGACCTAGAATGTCGACTGTAAGCTGAAAATGTGAGTGTATGTGTCATTAGTGTATTGTCACTTACTAATATTATAAATGCCAAAGTTTAGATGGATGGATGTTTGATAGAGTTTGAATTCTTAACGGCTGAACGGATCTTGATGAAATTTGGCACAGATGTAGTGGATAGTCTGGAAGAACACATAGACTACTCACTTTTGTTTTTTTTAATTCCACGCGGACGGAGTCGCGGGCGAAAGCTAGTATTCAATATGTTTCAGTTGTTACTTGTTTTGTTTTTAATAGTTGAATATGTAACAGGCGTGAAGTGAAAGCAATTCCGCGTTTCGTCTGATGAGTATGGTGCCGGAGGCCTAATTTTAGTCACTTTCCCTTTCCACCCTTTTCTTAAGAGAAGGAAGGGAAGGAAAAGTGGATTTGACGGTGGAGGAGACGCATAGGAAGGGGAAATGTCCTCTTTATGTGCGTCTTCTCCTCCGTCAATCAAGGGTTGGCATTGCATCTGCAATTGCGGATGTCTATGGGCAGCGGTCGCTTTCCATTTCGGTGGATTCAGGTGGCCGCTTGCTCGTTTGCCACCTTATATTATAAATAAAAAAAATAATAAACTATTCTATTTTTAACTGAAGCACTATTAATACATTGTTTGAATGATATTGAATTGAATAATTGAACACATCTGAGATGGGAGATGTCAAGTGTTGCGGGCAATTGAATTACATTCACAATTGCTTGTCTACAAGTCGGAATACAAATATGTACAGCTAGGGAAAGCTGCAGTGTTATTCTTTAAAAAAAATTACATTGTTCTTTACAATGAGACTAAGTTTGCCTTTTTTAACAAATAAGCAGTGAGTTATAACAAGAGGCTGTATTTTCATATTTACTCTATACTCATTAGTTACTGTTCTATGTAGTCTCAATGGGTACAAACATAACAACTGTAGTATTGTAAGTTAAACACCGCCAGTTTCCCTCATTGTACATTTATTAATGTATTGAATCATGCAATTAGATGAATGTTGAATATGTGGGATCATATGACTCACTGTTTTGTTATAAAACTGTTTATTTGGACAACTAGAATATGTTTACTCTACATTGAATCCTAAACTAGGTTATTCATCTTATAAAAAGGAGGAATCCGTCTTAGTACTATGGAGGGTAATGCCAGTAACTTGTGTCAAATCTTACTAATAGAATAGTAGAACCTTGGTAAGTTAAAGTCCAAGGGAAACACAAAACATTTTAAGTTATAGAGGTTTTAAGTTATCAAGGGTCTATGTTATGGAGGTTTTGGGATCTGATGCGACGAGAATATATTATTTTTTGAAGTTATAGAGGTTTTAAGTTACTGAGGTTTGAGTTATCGAGGTATCTACTGTATTACAAATGCAAAATTTAGATATCTCACAAATGCTTTAACGAATCTTGATGAAATTTAACCAAGATTCTAGATTCTATCTAGTCTGGAACATTGTCTTAAGTGTAAATTTCAGTTAAAGCTAATTCAACTATGAAATTGACCTTGCCAGACACTATTATTGCACAAACCATATTTCTCGGGATTCAAATAATGGTTTAATATACAGTGTGTTGAAATGAGAATTGTATTTATAGTTTTTTAAATTTTATAGCCAGCAGTAAATTGCTTGGTTGAACACAAGCATATTAAAATTTTAAATAAATAGTTTTTTATTATAATAGTTACAGGAATCATTTTGCATATCTTAATCTAGTATTTTCTGAAGGTTAATATTTAAATTTTTTTGCTACTGATGTATAAGATAATTTTTATAATAATTTATTGCATTTCTAAAAAAAAAATAACTATGTTAAGATATTTAATGTAGTATAAATACGTTCTATAAAAAGAGAACATCGTACCGAGAACCTTCAGTAATAATTTTTATGTACTAGTTTTAATTAATATTCGTACACAAAATTATTCGCAACATGCCGGCAAAATGTATGTTATAATTATCATTAAATAACAAGAATTGTTTATCCATGCAGGTGTGAAATAAATTAATGTATTTCAGGAGCCGATAACATGCATGAATCATCTGTTATTTTAAAAATATAAGGAATCATGACATGATTATAATAGTACACGCCCCTAAAGTTTATTTAAGGTCTAGATTAGGTTCCACTTACCTCTGTAATATGAAGCGCAGGGTTATGAACACAAACGCTAACGGTATCGGGAAGAAAACGTGACGATAGTCCGTATACCGTACCGCCTTATGTGGCCCAGGGGCGATATCATCCCACGTCGTATTTGGCGGTAACCAAACATTCGGGGTCCAAAAATTGTCTAACAACGTTCGCAACATTTTTAATTATTGCGTAGGCAGGTTATTCACGTCCGCGCCGTTTCCAGTTTTACATATAACAAATTGAATAATTATTTTTAATTTCGAAGTTGATCGAGTTATGCGGCGGTTGACAGACGTCACTCTGCGACGGCGGGGGGCGCGTGAGTGAGCGAGACAAACTGCTGCACAGATACATGAGTTTTGTCGTTGAATATAGATAAATATTTTTTTCAATAAGATAAAATAAAATAAATATAGAAGTCAACTTCAAAAATGTAGAATATTGTAATTTGTGCAAATTATGCTGATTTGTGTACTGTACTGTAGTGTAATATAAGTTTAACAATTAATTATTGTGACATGAAAAATAAGAAATGAAGTTTACTAAAGAACTAAGAAACACGACCAAATAAATACATCAATGGTCACATTATTATTTGGGGTATAAGTTTTCTAGTATATTTGGGTGCTACATTTTTATCTTTATATGAGAATAAACAAAAACAACATTTATCAACGCAATCGTTTTATTACCATTTCTTTTATTACGCGTACAAAAAATAAAGGACATTGTGCACAACAAAGCTCATTCATACTATACTGAACCGACAACGCATCTTACATTACATATTCGTTATTTAAAATTACCCTTTTTCAAATAGCGATAACCTCAAAATTTCAATTACATTTGCATTAATTATTGCAGTTTATTATAAAAAGATTTCAAGCTAAAGTGAATTTTATAACCTACAATTATTATTTCAAACATGAACCTTGTATAGCTATTATATATTTATGTGCAATGATTCCACAACCATACAAATATTAACATTACAATAAAATTAAACAAAAATAATCCCACGTCAACCAGTAAATATAAACTGTCACGCCTACGTACTCTCTATGGGGTCGGCATAACAGACGTCAAGTTTACCAAAAGATAAGAAATATTATTTGGAATAAAAGTCGAGTAATTTTTAACAATTAAGCCGTTTCTGCATTTTTTACACACATAATCAATCCGCCTTTTGAATGTCACATAAATTTACTAACGCCTTGTTGGCTAACAATACGAGATGGCATAGTCAATCATTTTGAAACATCAATCTCCTTTATATTATTACTTTTAATTTTTTTTTTTCTTAATTATTATCACCAACTTATCGAAAAGGCACAAAATATTCTACTACAGAAAATTGTATATTTTTCTTATTTTATTTTTACCAATTACTATTAAACATTATAAAAAAAAACTTGGGTATGATGTGGTATGACCCGACCAGAAATATAAACTACCTTACTATATTACGGACAAATATTGAACAAATTTTTTCTCGGACTTATAATAGGAAAATTACGAAGGGTAAAAATGGCGTTTGAGACGGCGTTATGAAAGGTTTTTAATTTTCTTGGTCATGGTACAATAGATTAAAACTACACTATTTGGAAGAACTCATATTAAACATTAGTTCTAAACAAAGTATGGGTATTTTTTTTTAATGTTTTAACAAATTATATTAAAAGTAATCAAAAATAGTAGGATTTAGGAGTTACATACTGGTAACCGAAAACTTTGACGTGTATCGAACTGTTGACGTTTAAAAGGTGACGTTATCTGCACAGAGCACCTTATGTCAGAGAACAGACAACTAATAGAAAAAAACGGTTTTTTTTAATAGTGTAATAGAAACTTGTGAGGATGAAGAATATTTGATATAACATGCAAGAAAAAACGCATAAAATCTTTTTTTATTAGTTTTAAGCCACTGAAAACTGTACGCCATTGTCTCATCTATAACAAAATAATTATGAATATATTTTCAAAAATTATTCTTTGGTATGTGTCGTGAAAAAAATGTCAATAGTAGTCTGGAATTACGTCCAATCTTAAATTTAACATTGAGTTTTTTAATTGCCAGAAAAACATGTTGTAGAATACGATCTTAAGGGCCTGTCCCACCAAATTGTAAATTATCCAACGTGTAAAATGTGTGATTGAAATATCGGATTTTGTTCCCTTATCTGACAGTGACGTCATTTTTAGCTATCTGTACCTCTATCAGCCAGAGGTGGGAAAGGCCCTTTATGTGTTATTACTTTTATTCAACAATGGTAAAAATCAGAATCGACAACAGGTAATACTTTATTTTTTCTGTTAATTAAAAAATAACAGTGTAATACAACAAATCATCCCTAATAAAACTAGTACCATAAATAAAACCTCTTTTAAATCTACCCTACACTTATAACCTATAAAAAGCGTCTTTGGGTGTATTTGCGTTTTAAAAATTAAATTATGATCTACAGTGCAATTTACAATCATTCAATGATATGGATTTTTTTGGTATTACAGTATTTTTACATAAAATAGTGCACGAAATTTTTATGCAATTTCAAATTAACATTTTTTATTTTATTTTAACAGTTGACTGCAACCTTTTGAAAGCAGATAACATTGTTTATAGTATAATTCAATAGGAATAAGATTTTTTACAAATACAACTAAAAAAAAAACTTTTACAAAGCTGTAATTATTAAAAAAAAATAAAATACATTATAAACAGACGTTTTGTATCGATTCAAACACTAAAGAAATAAAAAAAAATCCTTAGACAATAAATAGTATGAATATAAATTCTTATTTCTATTGAAAACAACTATAAATAAATAGTTTAACTGCAGTTTACATTCACAATGCACCACAACCGTAAACTAAAAACTTAACTTATAACAAATTGTTACTTTAAGTTGCACAAACGTGCTTATGTACTAGTTTAATAATTAAAACAATTGTCCTATCTACCTATCAATAATCTATGATAAGTTTTTTTCGAATTGCCATTTTACGCGAATAATGGGTTGCCATTTTACAAAAAAATATGTAACTTATTTATTTGCGTATATAAGAACTTAAGTAGCTGATTAAAGGAATGGGTTTTTATTTACTAAGTTAGGCTAATACTGAAAGTTATTGAAAATAGGCTAGGCTAAGCTTTGATTTTTTATTGAAAATGTTAGTACAAGCTTATTTATATATCAGTTTTTTTATTTATTTCCAATTCTATGGATACTTATAACATGTTGAATAAAGGACGAATGTTTTATAGCTTATTTATAAAAAAAAACTTATAGCTTAACCGGGAATATAAAAACCATAGCCATATTGTGGCAAAGAATAGAACTTATTCTTTTCCATACATTAAGAAGCGCACCCAGGATAATTTTTTATATTCTTGGTTAAACTATACTTTTTTGTGTACTTCCAAGTACCTTAGTTGATATTATAAATTGAATTAAATGCAATAAACATTTTTCAACACCATTATTTTTAAATAATACATAAAATATTAAACAAATTAAGAATCATTTAATACTTATACTAAAAAAATATTAAAAGTTCAACAATAATAAAATAAAAAATAATTATAGTAACAAATTTCAAATACACTGGGTAATTAAAAAAACTTTGGTTCGTTTCTTTTGTTCTCACTTAAGAAATAAAAATAAGGCCAACTTTATGGTCCCAAGTGAAGTTTTTGGAACACGCGACATTAACGCTTTTTAATTAATGCCGTTAACAAAGGAACTTGTTTTAAAATTATTTTAAACATGATTATTCTAAAACGCCATAATTTTACAATTGGTAATATTTGGTTAGGTATTAACTCTAAAAAACAAGCAAAATGTTTGTTTACTCTTTGATCTTTTTGACAGCTGTCATATAACCGTTATTAACGGCTAATTTAAAAATATGAACCGAGGCCAAATAACTCAAATTATATACTGATATACTGCATTTCCGATATTAAAAAAAATAAATGCTTTTATTAATAATACTGAATATGTCCAAAGAATAAAATGTTATTAAATAATTGGATATAAAAACAGAAAAAATCACGAATCAATGTAAAAAGACATGAAATTATATTTTCAATTACATCGATCGAATAAGATATCATGCGTAAAAATCAAAAAAAAAAATTGTAAATGTCAAATAATACTTAAAGAGCGGGAAATTCACGTCAAATCGCCTTTTAAACTATCTCCTTGCGTTTGTTTATTTCATTCTTAAGCACATAACAAACATTCCATATATTATGTTAAATTATCTTTGGATAGTACGAATATCTTAGAAATTATTGTATAGCTAAAACAACCAAGATGATCACTATATTAAGAACAGGTAACTAATGTTCAAATAAGATGTGTAAATGGCACAAGATATGTATGGGTGCAGTTTTGACAGTATGCGCCATTTTGAAACGAAAGTATAATTCTAAATTTTTTAAAATCTCTCTGCCATAATACTTGTTTTAATTTAATTTCAAATTCCGTCGTAAATCGTGCTATTTTCTTAGCAAATTAAAAAAAAATAATGTTTTTTAGAATACTGATTTAGTTTTTTTGTCATTTTAATAACAGAGAATAATTTAAATGACATAATCGTCACTATTATTTTCACTATTAAAAAAATCATGATTAGACGTTCCGTAAATTGCAAAAAATGTATAAACCAACCAGGAATATAAAAAAACCTCGATTAAATCGAAAAAAACGTTTTTGTTCGTTTTTCACTTTAGAAAAAAATATAAAAAATATCAAAATATCCCCAGGATTAGATTTTTTACGTTCTTAGTTACATATTTGGTCGTGAATATGCACAGCATAACTGGAGGATAAAAAAAACTTATATAAATAAATATAAAAAAAACAGTACACGCATGTGTTGATGTTCACTAAAGAGGACTTCGATCTTTTTGATTTGCTTGTCATTTATTTATCTCTGAAAAGAAATCATACTTTGTAATTGCTTGTATGGATGGATGGATGGATTACATTTTGTCAAAGACGTATAACATAATTTGGAAATACATAGGCTACTTAACTTGGATGACATTAACAAATTAAAAATATTAACAATGCTTGATTGAAAAATTTAAGGATATATTGACAAATAGAACCTTATTATATATATGATAGCGTAAGTTTAAATGGGTGGATGTTTGTTAGAGTTTGTGAACTGATCGGATCTCAATGAAATTTGTCATAGATGTGTAAATTCACAGATAGTCTGGGAGGACACACTTAATTTTTTATATTTTTTTTAATCCACCCAGCATTTTTAACGTGAATAGAGAAAATATACAAAAATCCAAAAATACAAATCTTTCTTCCTTATATTATTATGGATATGGGGGTCAAAATGATCATAAATGATCCCCCTTTATCTCCTCCGAAAGGGAATACATCGAATTATCAATATCCCTGTACATTTGTAAAGAAACTTACTTGTGATTGTTGGCGTTGGTGTTGGCGTTGGCGTTGGTGTTGGTGTTGGCGTTGGTGTGGGCGTTGGCGTGTGGTTGCGCACGACTGGGCGTGCTGTGGTTGGAGAGATGCGAGCTGTCGCTCAGCTCCGAGCTGGAGCTGCGGATGTCACCGTCCAGCTGACGGAAGTACACAGTAAACATCATTCACACCATATTTGGAACACACTTATCTGCGAAAACATGATTTTCGCTTCGCATTCGTTACCTCATGTAACAAATCTACGACAGTTTCATATAAAATATTACGTTAAGTTATTACAAGACAATAAAAACAACGCATAAACGTTTACAACTCTCAATATCATTGCCAAAGCGGTTAACTTCACACATATCTTTAAATTTCTTCATCGAAATATCTACCACGATGTTTTTCTTTACCGTAAAATATCAGGTAAATTATGTACAGTCGGGGAAATTGGCGGCGTTACATTAAATATAATCGTTTGAACATTTTAACGACGACGCTGAAAACAAACCAATACAACGCGGCGTTTAAATGTATCTATATGAAAAGTCTGTTAGTTATATATTGTTAGTTTTTTTTATTATTATCCCTTCGTTTGCACTCACTGCTATCCAAGTTATTTGTAGTCAAAGGCGGAGTTTGTCTCGTTACAATAAAGGTAAATTTCCTAAAATGGAACACCGCCGATTTCCGCGTCTGTACATATCAAAATCGAAAACCATTGATTCGAGGGAATTCGTAACCTGACAAATCATGTGTTTAAACCCTTGAGCTATCGAAGCTTATTGTACATAAGTGTGTTTGTATTACCTTGCCCGCGGTGATGGCTTTGTACGCGACCTGCAGGATGAGCCACGTCCACACGAGGTGCAGACCCAGCATCAGACAAAGCAGGGAGTTGAAGATATAGTACGCGGGAAACATCGGGTGCAGCATTGGCGCTCGGATGGCAGTACTGCAAACACAATTGACAGTAGTAGAGCCCGCTTTCACATCTGCGCATGACAACCACGACCACATAGAAAACTGGTGTGAAATGGAAGTAATTCCGCGTACAATCTGATGAGTGTGGTGCCGGAGGCCTAATTTTAGTCCCTTTCTCTTCCCACCCTATGTTAAAGGGATGGGAAAGTCGATTTGACAGTGAAGGCGCATAGGAAGTGGAAATACAGGCTGCTTTAATTTGTTTTTTTTTTATTCCACGCAATCACAGAAGGACGCGTGGAAGCTAGTATTTTATAAGTCTGGTACATATTTAGTTTTATTGTTATACAAACCTCCATATAATATAGAAGGGGAATATCCCCAGCCTGGTGATAATCCAGACCAGTGTGAACACCGCAAACAACGTATCGCACAACTTCTGATAATTCGCGTATTTCGTCGCTTTCGCTGCCTGGAAATTATACGTTAATATGTATAGTAAGCGTTTAAAACTCTTTGTATATTAAACCCAAAGAAAAAAGAAATATTTAGAGATTTTAGACAATGTTCAGTATTAATGAAAACGCCATCTATCGGTAAAGTGATGATAAAATTTCAAAACTTATCGTAAATCATCGTCAAACAAAAAAAAACAATATTTTTATAGGTTACGATAATTTAAATAGTAATTATTGCTTTCTTAAATTCCTAAAACTGTGTACAATTATCTATACTATTATAATAAAGCGTAAACACACACTTCTTTGCTGCCTAAGATGTCAGCAATTACAGCATATTTTTGAATAGTTCTTTTTTTTAAATAAAGCCCTACACTTACGTCACGCTTTAGGCTATATATTTTCACGCCAATAAACTTAGGGGTAAATATTTTAGATAAAATCCCTAATGTGGGAAAGAGACCATAAGTTGCTGCCAACATTAAGAAAACAAGATTGCCAATTCATATCAGTGATTGTAATGTCATATCAGTTTGACATTTACTATTGATAATTTGACAAATGTATACAATAAAATAAAATTTTCATCATTTCATGCGGATGAAGCTGCATGGGAACAGCTAGTTTTATAATAATTTATTTATTCCTATATGAATAATAAATTAATAAGACATTGGAAACATGAGAACTGTCATATGTCTCATTAAATAATGAAAAAAAGATAATATTGTTTAGTTAAAGTTAAAAAAACCTCACTAAAATATCATACATGTAAATATTCTCCAACTTAAAGGTCATTTATTTATTGTAATTAATTAATACAAACATGTATACAAAATAGGAAATATTAGTAACTCTTCGGGTAAATATAATGAATACTAAAGTAGCAAAACAAACATTTGGAAATAACAACATAATGCATCAAAAACCAAATCCCATTTGCAACTATTTCACAAAATATCGTACTAATATTATAAATGCGAAAGTTTAGATAGATGGATGTTTGTTAGAGTTTGTACCCTTAACGCCTGAACAGATCTTGATGAAATTTGGTATAGATGTAGAGGATAGTCTAAAACACATAGGCTATTAACTTTTGTTTTTTTTACAATTCCGCGCTGACGGATTTGCGGGCGAAAGCTAGTATATATAAAGCCCAACTCAACTTTCACCATAGTAAGATTAAGAGCCAACATTTACTCACATCTAATAGAATATCAGCACAATCGTGTATCACTAGCACTAGAGTACCAATCCTGTGCATATTGCACACCCAGCTGAACGACAGTAGCGCTATAGTCGTTATATGGTGCACAAACATCTGCCAGAAGTCCTTACGCCGTACATCCCAGAACTGGCTGATAGTCAACGACCAATAGAACGCCGTCGATATCATATAATACCACCAAATATCGTTAGTTATACCCTGAAACAAACATTTTATATACAGGATGATTTAAAACGAACGAATCAACTTTGAGTTAGAGGACCACAATAGAAATTTAAACGCAAAGTATGTTGCCTAACTTTAAAGCTATGGAAAATCAACATATTATGCACTTAAACAATAGCTATTGAGGTTCTCTAACTCCACAAAGCCGTTGATCTGTCTGTTAAGAATTACCCTATATAAGTAATGGTCCTTCGAGTCGGATTTTTTATTTTATGATTAATATTAGTTCTAGAGTAACTATAATATTTCTAACTAACTATAATATAAGTCCTTAATGGGGTAGCTGCCTCCCTTGTCACGTAGCCCATGATTAGTCATAATTTGAAAAAATTGGAATATTCCTATGCAACTTATGATCTAATAATTCTGTGGGTGACATTACAGATAACCTTCGGTATTTAAAACTCGATAAACCATCGTGTTTCATGAGTGATTTATTGAACTATGACATTGACAATTGTATTTCTAATTTTAGTAACAATTGCATTACTTAAAAAGTTTACTGAGTAAAAACCAATGTTTCTAAATTAGCCAACAGTATTAAAATGATTCAAAAAATATATTTCACTTCATCTCACTAGCGCTACCTGGGGTCAAAATCACGAACAAACTAACACTGAGAGACGTCTCGGCTTGTGAAATTTCCCTTCCCCTACCTCATTTTACTCCGGTAGGGTCGACGCATCTGGTTTTCGTCCTCCATATAACTCTATCATCCGTCATCTCAGTCATCACTCTCTCTTGATCATGTCACCTTTCACGCAATCCATCCATCTCTTTGTAGGTCTATCTCTACCGGTGTACCATACTCATAACTAACGTCCTTGTTACAAATTTGACATTGAGATATTACCGTACAAAGAAATTACCGGTGAAAAACTTTTGTTCCCTATGTCTAGTCTATATATTTTAATGTCTGTAACTCACGTGATAAGGGTATCCAACGTAACACTGATCAATTTCCCAAAACCATACTTTGTCCCACAGCACGAATAACCCGTAGGAGAAATTATACAAGTAGAAAATACAACGCCATGAATTTTCGCAGAACTTGACAAGAGTTGAGGGTTTGTCCTGCGACCGCCGCAGCCGCCACCAGCGCTCCACTTGACGCTCCGTCATATCCAACTGCTTCGCGAGACCACATACCTGAAACAAAGCATTTACATAGTTGTATATCTTCTTACTGTCTTTCATATCTTATTAAGAATAGACGACATTCGTGTAATCATGAAATACGAGATTTTAAGCTACAAATACAAAGGAAGCGATGTTAAATTCCACATAAATGCAGAGGTAATGAAAAAAATGCAATAATTACATACTTTATATTAATAAAAAGCAAAGCATAATGCTCTTGGATATACAATAGACTGGATTTTATTATCCACTAGCTATCGCCCGCAACTTCGTCGGCGCGGAATTAAAAAAAACTTCCAGACTATCCTCTACATCTATACCCAAAATCCGTTCAACCGTTTAGGCTACAAACTCTAACAAACATCCATCCATCCATCTAAACTTATGTATTTATAATATTAGTATGAAGTATGATAGTCATATAATAAAGAGAAAAGATTTGTGTTTTTTATGTATTGATGTAACTCAAAAAGTACTAGGCCAATTTCAAAAATTACATTAGAAAGCTATTATTTTAAATTCACGTAGACAAAGTCGCGAGCAACAGCTTGTATATAAGGTGGAAAATAAGCAAGTACCAAATTAGCAAAGCGACCGCGAATTTCGAATATAACGGTTTTTTGCTTACTGGCAACACTAATAACAACCATAGTAAACCTGCTCCCCTTCTGACAATGTTCAAAAACTGACAAAACCCTTCTCGGATTGTGACGCGCTTACACGTGATCTTACGTCACGTTAGTTTGGACTTTAAAAAAAAATTAAAACTGTGTCAGTGTGAGATTATCAAATAATCTCCACAAACATTCGCGATCGTACGACTTTATTACGAGTAATTCCTGATATCAGTTATTACCCGCTCATGAATACCTTACGCGTGTCATGTTTTATTTATATCAAGATGTTTGTAAATTAACGTTTTTTACAAGCGACACGATCTAATCCATTGAAAGAAAGAAAAAAAAATATGTTTATTCAAAAAAAGAATAAGAATTCATTCGGCATGTGCTGCGGTGTAACACCGAAGTTTTCAATCTTACTAATATTATAAATGCGAAAGTTTAGATGGATGGATGTTTGTTAGAGTTTGTAGCCTAAACGATTAACCGGATCACGATGAAATTTGGCACAGATGTAGAGTATGGTCTGGGGGAACACATTAGCTACTTAGTTTTTTTTTTAAATTGCACACGGACGGAGTCGCTGGCAAAAGCTAATGAATCATAAATCAGAACACGGACTTTTACAGAAAATAAAAATACGTGTAACGGTCGAATATTTAAACGACACTTAAATACAGCGTTTTAAATGAAAAAGGCCACGCTAAAATCCAAATTCTATAAATTGCATCGCAATTTTATTTTCGTTTCCGTATTCAGCCGTTAAACACAAGAACTAGCCTCAGTCAGTTATACAGAGGAAAAACATGA